CTTAGATTCAGAAGTAAAAAACTTTGAGAGGTCATTCACTTTTGTTTAAAACTTCATGGAAGAAAATTGCTCAATAAGGACAGAATATAAAAGGTGAACAAGAAACCAGTTTAACTAAAATTTTTGAGTAATAAGAAGAAGGTTAAGGTAATGTCTTCAAATGACAACCTTGAAAGATGTTTCATTGGAAAAAATCTTGAAGAGAAGTGCCACCTACTTACTTATACAAAGGTAGCTGGATTAAAACCCTTTGAACTTCTAAACGATGAAGAAAAGGATTTGGTTTCAGTGAGATCAGGAGTTGTACCAGGCAAAGGAATGACAATATGCTTTCATCATGAGCAAACTCTCTTAAAGCAGTTCACTTCATTGCAAAGGAGTTGTTGTGACCCATTTGTAAGACATAAAAAGGCAGTTAAAGGATGTTCACGGGAAATAACACAAGCATTGGCTAAGGAATTGCAGCAGGTTAATGTTGAAGTGGTGCCAGGTTGGAAGCTTTGCCCAACATGTCGTAGAGAGGTTTCAAAAAAACTGGCAAATGTTAATGAGGGGGAGACACTGCAGCCTGAATTGTACGATGGGATCCTCCAAGAAACCAAAGAAACTGAGTTGCTAGAAGAGCTTCACAGAGATGAGGTGCGAGAAAAACTCAATTCTAGCTTGGAAGAGATGGATGTTAGCCCCATAAAACTTCACGGAGTTGCATCTCACTCTAGGCCTGCGTATGGAAAGCGCAAGCTTACACAAATTGAAAGCAGACTGCAAGAACAGAAGAAAGTTATCCAGAAACAAATATCGGAAGCTATGAATGTGACAACAGAGTCAATCCAGATCTCAGAACCATCAATACCAGACAACTATGATGAAGTAAAGAAGAAAGCAGATGATCTGGATATCCTTGTGTCATTGATGAAAGAGAAACTCAAAGTCTCAAACAGAGGACAAAGACTGCAAATTCTAACACTTGCACCTCGGTCGTGGTCTATTCCGAAAACCATGGAAGAATTTGAAGTGACAGCTTACATGGTAAGACAAGCAAGGAAGCTAGGTGCTGAAAAAGGAATACTGGGAACGCCAAATGAAAAGAAAGGGAAAGTCATTTCTGAAGATTTAAAACAAAGAGTTGTTGCGTTCTATTGTGATGATGAGTACAGTCGTCAAATGCCAGGAAAAAAAGACACAGTCAGCATCAGAAGAAATGTCCCTGTCCAGAAAATGCTTCTTTTGTGTAACCTTAAAGAGCTGTATTCTCTCTTTAAGGTCCAAGATCCTGAAGTGAAGATTGGCTTCTCAAAGTTTTGTAGTTTACGGCCAAAATGGTGTGTATTGGTTGGTCGATCTGGCACACATTCTGTAATATACTAATAATAATAACAATTATTATATTTTTTTGCGGTACAGAATTTGAAAATGGCTTTGAAAAAAGCAAACATTTTACAACATACTTAAAGCTTTTTCGTCTGACACTCCTCAGAGCATAAAACGTCAGAATAGGTTCTGAAAAAACACGATGGAAAAATATATACCCAGTTGTGGATCGAAATAGGCCAATCAGAAAAACGCAAGCACAAGACCGGTATAGTTGACCAATCAGTGCCGCAAGCCTAAAGAAAAATTACCAATGGAGTCCAAGAGAGAAAACGAACTCCTTTTGTCTACACAATGGCGGCTTTTCGTTTTTATGTAGATTGACTCCAAAACTGCTAGATGGAAGGACGACCGGGCTCTGCCAATTATCCGAAACATGTCGTCATTATAGAGTTTTGCACAATCTGGGTTGTCTAAAAGATGTTGACCAATGGCAGAATCACTTGTTTTAACAGTGTTTCTAGACCTACAAGATCGAGGAGGCTGTTCTCTTTGAGGGGCAGTTTTGTTTCGTATGTTGGAAGGAACATGAAGGAACAAGTCAATCTACATAAAAACGAAAAAGCCGCCATTGTGTAGACAAAAGGAGTTCGTTTTCTCTCTTGGACTCCATTGGTAATTTTCTTTAGGCTCGCGGCACTGATTGGTCAACTTGCGTTTTTCTGATTGGCCTATTTCGATCCACAACTGGGTATATATTTTTCAAACGTGTTTTTTCGGAACCTATTCTGACGTTTTATGCTCTGAGGAGTGTCAGACGAAAAAGCTTTAAGTATGTTGTAAAATGTTTGCTTTTTCAAAGCCATTTTAAAAT